ACATGCCATACCCGAAATACCCGGACCTGATTATACTCCCGGTAGGGTTAACACCAGCATGACCGGTCGAAGGGACATCATATTCAACCGGATCACTTCCCGTTGTAATAAACAAGGAATCACTTTATTGGGCCATCTTCTTGGTCTCTCTTCCAAATCAGGTCACCCTTAACAAAAAATAACTCTTTAGTCATTCCATAAGAATTTATTTCCAAGATCTTCTTCTGATATGACTCAAATTATAATCATAATCTCCTGGATTATCTAACTTAAGTTTTTATAAACATGACCTGACCTGGGTTCCGAGACTGAATCTGACTTCTTGGCTAACAGAACTACATAATCTACGACTACTATAGGCAATGTCAGAACAGGGGCAGATCATGCAGAAAATCCCAATAGCTCTTCTGTTGATATTACAGCAGCCGATTCGTCTGCAACGAAGGCAACGGATTCCATTTCATCAGCGGAAAGAAATAGCCAAGATGGAGCAGTAGTAGAAAACTCTGCTCTCTGCTCTATCCGTTGATGGACAGCAGAACTGCGAAGAAGAAACAAGCGGTGAAAGCAAGCAAGAATTATCAGCAGCAAAAGATCAAAGCAAACAAGTCCAAGAGAAGGTTGGCTTTTACTTTGTCCCCTGAGAACCAACTTCATTACCTATGAACAGGTAATGGAAGCATATTACACCAATACCTATACAAACAAGAAATTGAGAGAGAGTCTACAAAACCCATACCAACTAGAAATTGAGGGAGAGATACAAAACCCATACAAACTAGAAACTGAGAGAGAGGTACCTTGACGATGACAGCTTTCTCCTTGACCAACAAAAAATCAAAGTGCTACATAATTTGTACACTATCACTTCCGCTGGCCAATCCTGTGCGATAGGCACAACCACATCCGTTGATTCATCAAATGGAGGTGGCCATGGTGGGAGAAACCAGGGACATTCAGGCACATCAACATCCATTGATTCATCAACAGGAGGAGGTGGCCATGGTGGGAGAACCCAGGGACATTCAGGCACATCGACATCGGTTGATTCATCAACAGAAGGAGGGGGCCATGGCAGGAGAAGCCAGGAACATTCAGGTACATCAACATCAATTGATTCGTCAACAGGAGGAGGCCAAGGCGGGAGAAGCCAAGAACATTCAGGACACTCGGGTTGCAGATCAGAATCCTGACTACACCCCTTGTCTAGAAGAGTTGACTTACTCATACCTAATTGAGACGACCCAGGTTTCGGATTAACCTCCTCATCCAATGGGTCCAATGGGTCTTCTCCGGAAAGAAGTTCAGACTCAAGACTTGCGGACTGACCGACATTCAATTCAGGTAAGTCCAAGTCCAGCTCAGGTAAGTCTACTATTGTTGACTGACCGAAATCTAGTTCAGGTAAGTCTACTCTTGTTGACTGATCGAAATTCGGTTCAGGTAATTCTAATCCAGTCAACTGACCTAAATCCAGTTGAGGTAAGTCTAATCTTGACTGACCTAACACCACTTCAGGCAGGTCCACTCTTACGGACTGACCTAAATCAGGCACAAGCAAATCCATTCTCGACGGTCCCAAATCCGGTTCAGGTAAGTCAAATCCCAACGGACCTAAATTTGGTCCAGGCAAATCCAATCCGGACTGACCGAAATCAGGTTCAGGTAAGTCCAATCCCGACGGACCTAAATTTGGTCCAGGCAAATCTAATCCGGACTGACCGAAATCAGATTCAGGTAAGTCAGACTCGACTCGAGAACAGTTCTGCACAACAACGAGTCCCTGGACAGTGGATTGAAGGTTCTTCATTTGAGATCCAATTGAAGAATATGAACTCTTCACTTGAGTCTCCATCGACGAAACAGAACCATGAATCTGATCCACCTTCTTCTCCAGATTCGAAACTTCAATCCTGTCCAATCGGGAGGGTTGTGGTTGTTGTTGTGGAGGATCAGGTCTAGCTGTACGGCTAATCCTTGGCTCCTCTGCAGATACCTCTACAGACGTTTGTCTGACATCCTTCCGCGATTTGTCATGAATTGCCTTATGGGTATGCTGAAACCATCTGACTAAGTCGATGGCTTCATCCAAAGATCTAGGACAATAATAAATAGCATAGTGCCCAGCCTCTCTATCAAAACATCCTTGGCAAAATCTATGGACGACCTGTTTTTCAACATGGTGGTCCGGTAAATCTGCAAAGGCATGAGCAGCCAATGTCATAAGGCGGTTCGCCCAATCTACATGGTATTCCTCAGGTTGCTGCCTCGCGTAATTAAATTGCAATTGTGCAACTTCGTCCCTTGATGCAAACCGCTTCTCCAGTGTCCGGACTAAGTCCGCAAACCCAAGATGAGGTTCATGCTTAACGAGCAATGAGACATACTCGCTTGCACTTCCACCCAAGCACCAGCAAAGTTGATTCCTTCGTTGGCTCAAAGTCCATCCAAACGCCTCAGCGTCAAGGTTGAACTTAGCGATGAACGCTTGCCAACTCCCGCGGCCATCGAAAACCATGGACTTGGGCAAGGAAAAAGACTTGTGGCCCCTCTCACGGTTACCATCCCCACGAAATAAGTGGGAACTATGGGTATCCTGAGATCGGTGCACATCTGATGGAGAAGGAAAACCATCACGTTGATAGGCAGTATGCCGATAATCTTGGTATCTGGTATACTGCGGCGAACTCTGTCGAGCTGGAAGCCTCTCCATAGGAGGAGGAGCTTCCGCTGCAACACGCTGCTGACCTTGATTCCGAAGAGTGGTCTGGAGAGCCTCTATTACTGCCTTATATTTCGCTTCCACCAATCGCTCAACATCTTGTTCGGATGGAGCTTTGGAAACGACTGCCTCAGTTCCACCAGCTTGGGAAGCCATTGGCTTCTCTTGACTCCATAAATCTAATACAGACATTCGAATTCAAAATTCAATTACTCTAAATGCAACTACTTTGAATTCAACTATATACTTTGAATTCAACCAACTTTGAATTAACCCAACCTTGAATTCAACCAACTCTGAATTAAACCAACTTTGAATTAAACCAACTTTGAATTGAACCAACTCTGAATTGAACTAACTTCGAATTGAACTAACTTTGAATTGAACCAACTTTGAATTGAACCAACTTTGAATTCAACTAACCTTGAATTCAACTAACCTTGAATTCAACTTAACTTTGAATTCAACTAACAACTTTGAATTCAACTAACAACTTTGAATTCAACTAACAACTTTGAATTCAACTAACAACTTTGAATTCAACAACTTTGAAATCAACTAACAACTTTAAATTCAACTACTCGGAATCCAACTAATCAGAGTCCAACTAATCGGAGTCCAGCCAATCGGAATCCAGTTTCTAGGAATCAAGTTACTTTGAACTCAGTTACTCTGAATTCAGTTTCCTTGAATTCAGTTTCCTTGAATTCAGTTTTCTTGAATAAATATTTCTTGAATTCAATTTTCTTGAATTCAGTTTTCTTGAGTTCAGTTTCCTTGAGTTTAGTGGCCTTGAGTTTAGTTTCCTTGAGTTTAGTTTCCTTGAGTTTAGTTTCCTTGAGTTTAGTTTCCTTGAATTCAGTTACTTTGAATTCAGTTACTTATTTTTAAATCAGTTACTTTAAAGTCTGTTACTTTTAATTGTGAGAAATCTAGCTAACAAAGCTCTATTTTTGCAATGCAAGAGTCCGAGTCGGAATCCAAAATGAAATCCGAAAAGTCCTTCAATTATAAACTCCCAACCCTTGAGCCAAGAGATTGACCTAAGTTCAAATCACTCGCGCTCTAACTACTGTAGACCGAGTCGAGAAAACCTGCTCAAAAGTCTTGGTGAACACGACTCGGGTACTACAAGGCTAGAGAATTAGCAATGCAAAAATATAAAAAGAAATCTGACTAATCCTTAAATAATAATTCCCAACCGTAATTGAGCTAAGAGATTTGAATAAATTCAAATCACTCAAGCGCCAACTACTGTAGACCGAGTCGAGAAAACCTGCTCACAAAGTGCAGACGACCAAGACTATGGTAATACACAGTTAGAGAATTATCAATTCAAAAATATAAAATGAAATCTGACTAATCTTTTAATATAATAATCCCCAACCGTAATTGAGCTAAGAGATTTGAATAAATTCAAATTACTCAAGCTCGAAACTACTGTAGTGTAGACCTAGTCGAGAAAACCTGCTCCAAAGTGCTGGTAAACCCCACTATGGTACTACAAGGTTAGGAAATTAACAACTCCTTGTTAAGAAATTCAAAAAGAGTGATCAAATTCCAGATCTTTATAAAATCCCAAATTGGAACCAAGCTTATTTCAATAAATTAAATTAATACTCCCTACGATGACACGAACACATATGCAGCAAAACTACACACATGCACATTTATTAGTTAATTAATTTAGTCCAAGTCTTAACTACCTTAATTATTTTTAATTTCAATAAAAAATAATTAGTTACTTATTCTTAAGTATACTCTGTCCCCTTCCCTACTTTTCTACAGCGAAAAGTAGAAGACTCGAAAGAGACAGGAAAATGCAAGTAAGTGCAATCACTTGCATTAATTTAATTTAATTTATCTAGTTAAAATTTATTCTTAACTACTCTGTCCCTGTAGTAATGTGATATTTACTATGTATATCCATCAGAAACTTGTCTGTACGAAACAGTGAAATACTGCCCTCTCCGGCAGAATAAAGTAAGCTTAGCAACGAGCATAATGGCGTTTCCATCTAGCTATATTACTTTCGTATTTATGGATGTGTAAGATACGACATTTGGCGACGAGGATGAACAGGTATTGTTCTTTATTGATTGAGAAACCTAACTTGCTGATTGTTAACTTTTCGATCAGTGATTTTGTGCTACATGTAGCTGCCTAGCTAGCTGTGCCTGATGTGCCTGTAGATCTATGCCTGCTCCTGTGCCTGTGAGTCGTGCGACGCCTCAGCTAGTCCGTTGATCGTTCGCCAGTGCACTGGTTTCTCGTCATCATGGAAAGTGGTAGCCTACCAATGTTTCCATCATTTGACGCCGAATTAGATCGTCCTGATGTTGCTACACGTTGGACGAAGTGGCTGGCCCGCCTTGAGAACTTATTCGTTGCTCTAAATATCACGGACGACAAGCGTAAGAGAGCCCTTCTCCTGCACTATGCTGGGGAGCAGGTACATGACATTTTTTGTGCTGAGTCTTCAAGTCAAGCTAGGCCTGCTGACACCTCCACCTCAACCACGTCTACAGTCGGCCCAGACTGTTCCTACGCGGGGACTGTACGTATTTTGACAACATACTTTGCCCCCAAACGCAATATTCAGATGGAGATGTATGTTTTTCGATCTTGTAAACAAAAGCCTGGACAGAGCTTAGAGGCTTACGTCACCGAGCTGAGAGCACTTGCCCAAACATGTAAATTTCATGATGCCAACAGTGAAATTCTCAGCCAGCTCATACAGCACTGTTCTTCTTTACGTTTTCGCAGACGGGCGCTCCGTGAACAAGACAAGAGCCTAAGTGACATTTTGGCCATGGGTAGACTTCTCGAACAATTAGATGCGCAGGCCAAATTGATGGAGGACGGCCCTGCAATTGTTAAGGCTGTCCAGACCGCCAAGCCCCGGTTTCAGTCACAGAAGCCCCGGTTTCCGTCACAACAGCATTTTTCGAAGCGCAGATCATCAGGCATCTGTAAGTACTGTGGTGGTCAGCTCCCCCACAGTGCGGACTGTCCTGCTCGAGGCAAAACATGTAACTTTTGCCACAAGAAAGACCATTTTGAGCGTGTATGCCAGACGAAAGCGAGATCACAGCAAAGCCAACACGTCAAGTCAGTCAGCACTGCTCCTGCAGACAGTGACCGCAACTCACCTGTATCTCAACCCCCTGCAGACTCGTCTTCCGACGAATATTGCTATGCTCTCCAGGAGGACACGGTTTCAGCGGTGACACCACAGGTGACATTGATGGTTGAGCATGTACCCATCCCCTTTTTGGTCGACACTGGTACTACTGTTAATATCATTGACGAGACTGCTTATGAGCTGCTAGGTAAGCCCATACTCCTGCCACGACCTGGATCGCGTCTTGTTCCGTATGGCTCCGCAAAGGCCCTCCCACTCCTTGGGAAATGCAACTTATCGGTAGAGAGGGATGGCAACACATATAGCTTCGTCTTCAACGTCGTTGCTGGCAGATATGGATGTCTTCTCAGCTGCGACGCCTCCCAGGCCTTAGGATTTGTACAACTTGCATGTACTGTGACAGATTACAAAGGTCGTTTCCCTATGCTCTCTAAGGGCATTGGCAAACTCAAGGACAGGCAGTTCCTCCTGCATGTTGACAAGACTGTCCCGCCGGTGGCCATCACTAATCGCCGCACGCCCTTTCACCTTCGAGAGAAAGTCGCAGCAGAACTCGACAAACTACTCGAAGAAGACGTTATAGAGAGTGTCATAGGAGAGCCTACGCCATGGGTTTCTCCAATTGTTACGCCTCCGAAGAAAGATGGCTCTATTCGCCTATGTGTCGACATGCGAAAGCCCAACAAAGCAATTCAGCGTGAGAGGCATTCCATGCCAACTGTCAATGAGTTGCTAAGTGACTTCAACGGTGCAAAGGTCTTCAGCAAGATTGACCTTCGAGCCGGTTATCACCAGCTAGAATTAGCTCCAGAGTCTCGCTATATCACAACATTCGCAACACATCGTGGTCTTTATCGCTACAAGCGCCTTAACTTTGGAATATCGTCTGCAAGCGAGATTTTCCAGGAAGCAATTCGCGATGTAATACGTGACATCAAAGGTGCAAAGAACATTAGCGATGACATCATCTGCTTTGGCAGCGGTAGCAACGCTCAGGCTGATCATGATCGTGCAGTCCATGAAGTACTGACAAAGCTTCAGCAGAGTGGTCTAACTGTCAACTGGAACAAATGTGAATTTGGAGTACGCCGCATAGAATTCTTTGGTTTGATCTTCTCGGACCAAGGGGTTTCGCCAGATCCGAAGAAAGTTGCAGCTGTGAAGGAAGCTGCTCCCCCTTCCAACTCTGCAGAAGTGCGTAGTTTACTCGGCATGCTGAACTACAGTGCACGCTTCATCAAAGACTACGCTTCGCTGAGCGAGCCACTCCGACGTCTGACAGTGAAAGATGCAGAATGGGTGTGGCATGATGAACAGCAAGAAGCATTCAACTCGCTGAAGTCAGAGCTTATGGCTTCTACTGTTATGGCCTACTACGACCCTACAGCAGACATCGAGATCATCACTGACGCTAGCCCAGTTGGTCTCGGGGCAATTCTTTCTCAGCATGACAAGCCCGTAGCATTCGCAAGCCGTGCCTTGAGCCATGCTGAATCTCGCTATAGTCAGACGGAACGCGAAGCTCTTGCCATCGTATGGGCTTGTGAGCATTTTGATTTGTATGTCCGCGGAGCACCGCAGTTTACCGTTGTTACAGATCATAAGCCTTTGCTTCATGTGTGGGATAAGCCAAAGCCTCCTCTTCGTCTCGAAAGATGGGGATTGCGCTTACAGCCCTACAAGATGAATATCAAGTATCGCCCAGGTCGCGACAATCCCGCGGACTATATGTCGCGCCACCCACGGTCAATTACTTCCCCTGCTGACCAACGCCTACAGGATATGGCAGAGAAATATGTGAGTTTTGTCGCGGAGACATCAACACCGTCTGCGGTTACCATGCGTGAAATCGTAGACGCTACCATCGCAGACAAAACACTCATGCAAGCGATCGCGTTCACACATAGCGGGCGCTGGCACGATTTTGCGAGTGTCAACCAGCCCGATATCGATATTCGTGAGCTACAGGAGTATCGCAATGTGAAAGATGACTTCACGTGCTACAACGACAACGTATTGCTACGGGGAAAACGTATTGTGGTGCCTGCAGCACTTCGTGATCGCGTGGTGTCAATCGCGCATGAAGGTCATCAAGGAATTTCGCGAACGAAATCACTCCTCCGTTCACAGGTGTGGTTCCCCGGAATGGACACCAAAGTCGAAACCATTATTCGGCTTTGTCCAGCTTGTCAGGCAGTCCAGGATACGCGCATGCCTCTTGAACCACTACGAATGTCCAGTATGCCTCCTGGTCCGTGGCAGCACGTCAGTATGGATTTCTGTGGACCTCTTCCTACAGGCGACTATCTCATGGTCCTAATCGACGAGTTCTCACGCTATCCGGTAGTTGAGATTGTGAGGTCGGTTTCCGCGTCAGTTGTTATACCTGTCCTAGATAAAGTTCTCTCAGTGTTTGGCTTTCCAACAGTTCTGAAATCCGACAATGGTAGCCCGTTTAACTCGGGTGCATTTGCACTATATGCCAAACACAGCGGTTTCGCACACCGACGCATCACGCCTCTCTGGCCCAGAGCCAATTCGCAAGCTGAAGCTTTCAATAAGCCTCTGATGAAAGCAGTCCGAGCAGCGTGTCTTGCACAGCAGAATTGGAAACAACGGATGTTTGTCTTCCTTCGCCAGTATCGCGCAACCCCTCACACGTCAACGGGAGCATCTCCTTTCCAACTGATGTTCGGTCGCGTTCCATTTACACGCCTCCCGCATGTACCTCCCGCAGACATCAGTTGCCATAGCAATGACAACCAACTCGATCATCAACGAGTACTCGAGAAAGCACTTTCGAAGGATGAAGTAGCGAAGTCGAAGCAGAAGCAGTACGCCGACAAAAGACAGCGAACACGCGTGAGTGACATCACCATGGGTGACTACGTTCTACTTCGACGCGATAAGCGAGGAGACAAGTTCTCCACCCCCTTTGTTCCTAACCCCATGATTGTTATCGCGAGAAAAGGGAACATGATCACAGCTGAGACATCTGATCGCCGAGTTACACGCAATGCTTCATTCTTCAAGAAGGTACCGTTTCGCAGTTCCCCCTTTGCCCCTGAGGCAGATGTCGATAACGATGACGATGACATTCTCATTCCAGGACATCACTATGATGTTCCCCCTGCCCCTAACATTCACTCCCGACATCCTGCCCCCTCCAGTCGCCCTTCTCGTACCCGGCGACGACCTCGGTATTTGACAGACTATGTCCCATAGAACTGTATTTCGGTTCCTCCCTATTGACAGTACCCATAGTGTTTTGGTTACATGCATGTTTTGGATGAAATGCCTTCATCTCAGTAGCTAGTTTGACCCCCCCCCCCCCCCAATGGTTGTTTATGCATTTTGTCATTCTGATGTTTGTCTTTACCGGTAATCTTTTCATACTGCTTCGCATTTACCATGTACCAGTTCCACTCCATCACACTGATTAATACGGCATGTTTTTCCTAAAAAAAAAAAAAAAAAAAATTTCAAGCAATTTTCAGTTGTGAGTTCAATAATGCAACAGTCTATTTTTTTTATAGAGATACTGTTAGAATGATGATGATTATTTTTATATGTTTGTCATTGTTGTTCATTGAAAAGGGAGAGAGGAAGGATGGAAAGAGGATTAATATTTCACGAACAAAACAGATATTGTAAACAAACAAACAAAAATGATTTAAATGTACGTAAATGTATGTATGTGAAATTATTGTACACTGAAAGTACAAACATGATGTGTTTATTTGTAATTTTGTTCAGAAGCATTATTGTTGTATATTGTGTGGTACAATATAATTTTTAACTTGGACTGTTCTTTGCATCATTAGTTTCCAAAAGAAAAGTACAAGAACAGAAATTATTTATTTTGGTTAATAACATTTATTTTATTGTCATGCTGTGCAAGTACACATGCACAACTTTGTTGCAAATGATGTTGAAGTGCCAAATGCTGCACAATACTCTATTGTTTCAGTTTGGTGTTTAGCAGACCTCAATAAGGTGTTTTCAAGGTTAGTGTTATGAAAGTTCTATTTGACTTTGTCTAGTATTTTGCAGTTCATGATTTCGACAAGGATTTTGTAATGTCAGGTTTAAGACAGCAGTCCTTTTATTGTTGTGTTTGCATTCAGTTGATCTGAAATATAACTAACCTCGTATAGCATTTTACACAAATACAAGTGCTAACAACTCTCAGAAGAAAATAGCCAAATCACTCATATATATTTTGGTTGTTAGATTTGATTTTAATATCCAAACCGATTCAGTTACATACTATTATATGCCGATACTGTATGTATTCAACAGGCTTAATGCACCTTCTCCAACATTATAGGAAGCTCCATCTCAAAGAAGGGAGAGGTGTAGTAATGTGATATTTACTATGTATATCCATCAGAAACTTGTCTGTACGAAACAGTGAAATACTGCCCTCTCCGGCAGAATAAAGTAAGCTTAGCAACGAGCATAATGGCGTTTCCATCTAGCTATATTACTTTCGTATTTATGGATGTGTAAGATACGACAGTCCCCTTCTCAACTTTTCTTTCAACGAAAAGGAGAGGAACCGAAAGAGACAGAAAAATGCAAGTAAGTGCAATCACTTGCATTAACTTAATTTAATTTATCTAGTTAAAATGTATTCTTAACTACTCTGTCCCCTTCTCTACTTTTCTTTCAACGAAAAGGAGAGGACTCGAAAGAGACAGAAATTCTTAACTACTCTGTCCCCTTCTCAACTTTTCTTTCAACGAAAAGGAGAGGACTCGAAAGAGACAGAAATGCAAGTGCAATTTGATACTGACACGAAAGTGACAGCATCCAACAAACTAGAACAATATATGTGAAATGCCAGACAAAAATAACCGGCGTAGAATAAATCTATGCCGAGTTATAAGAATGGAAAATAAAGCAAGGCACACGCAACAGTAAAATAAATCCAAAACACACCAAACGCCTGGTAATACCAGGCTAGCGCGAACACTCGAAAGAGCTCACACGAAAACGTAAACACAATGCACACGCTACACACGGCGAACCAAAAATGTATTCAGAACAAGATGGCTGCCCACGCTTCAAAAATGTGACACGTGCGACGGAAAATTCCGTAAAATCACGAATCCGTGCACAGCAATGAAATACACACGAAAAATACAAATATAATGGAACGGAAAAATATAGCCAAGCGCAAGTTCGAATGAAAGTCGCAGCGCCAATGAAGTAAAAACGGGTGGTGAGTAGAATGATAACAGATGAATGATGGCGGAGTTACCACCGTACTTTTACTTACGATGCGGTGAAATGTATGAAATGGAGAAGGAAAGACAAGACACCGACTAAACACTAAACTAACCTTATATTATCTCTACTTGTCCTTCAGCTAAGCTCAGCATAGCTGAAGATGCTCAGCTAACATGCTAACTCCCGGGTCTTGAGGTGAGCCGGGAGTCCATGATTCGGGAAACTAAGCGATCCTGGAGTAAGTGTGTGTGTCAACAGCTCATCAGAATCCAGAATGAGGTGACGGCCCGTGTCCGGGACTCTTATAGGCCCGTCTTTGAGAGGTTGGCGACGGACGGACGCGTAAGCGCATCCAAGACATGTATGAACTTACGCGTCCGCGAAATAGGGTACAATAATTTGGCTTACAAAAGGCAATTTTACAACAGTAACAAATGGTAGGCCTTCTGTAGTACTGACAAGTTTCTTTGATGAAAATTTCATTGGTTTTGCAGATATTTGAGTCTAGTTTTACCGATTAGGCCAACCATATTAAGCTACATGTATGGTCCGCCATTGTTAGTGTTGGTGTTGAGAGCTTGGAAAGGCTGCTGAACCAAGCTCCAACACTGATGGTCAGTTTAGAAGGACGATACCGATCACACGTGTGTGCGTGCGTGCACGTTATCGATAGCTCAACACCAGCCTCAACGCCGAGTGACGTCTACTCTACAGACGAAAAGTCTTGCGATAAAAGCATAATCCATTCAGAAATTCCAATAAATTACACTAGATCTAGATCGATGTCAAATTTCAAATGTAAAGTCATATTAAAAAATCAATAGATAAAATATTATTTCTCTTGAAATACATAGTCTAGAGGTCTATATAGCTCCCAGGATTTACAGCTGTTTTGACTTTACAATTGAATTTTACCTTTTGCATGATCGTGAGATTCGTGCCAGATGTCCGCATAGTTACCTGCGGTATACTGCAACACCAACATGAAATCATGAATTTACCAATCCCTAGGGGCTGGTGTTGGTGAATGGGAAAATAACACGTTAATCGTCAACACCAACCGCGATACTCAGTTCAGCAGACGACAACACCAGCCCTCAACACAGCTCAGACTAGCGGAAATAGACTACATCATATTTCCCGAGGTCAATCCCAACACCAGCCTGATTTCAAGTTCGGTGTTGTGGCTGGTGTTGGTGTAACACCAACACCAGCTTTCAATACCGAACTTGAAATCACCCAATGCATTTTTATTGTTGCTGTCGCATGAAGGCCGAAGGAAGATGATGATCGGATCATCCATGGCATTGCCATTGTCATTGAACAGTTTAAAATAGACTCTACGGCTGCAACAATATCAACACGGAGCTAAATTTCGACGGAAAAAAGGACATATGGTCGGTTTTTGTCTTTAAAGAGAGGAGCCGACCCTACCCAAATTAGTGGCTAACGAAAGAAAGAGACAGACATTTTCGGTCCAACGGTTACAATGAGCGAGCAGCCGATGCCGAGCACAGCCCGTCTAGGCTCTAGCGCCCGACGGCGGCGGCCAAGCCGACATGTCGTTTAGAGCCGTCTTGCCATTGAGCCCGAGACACTCAGCTGAGAGCTTGGTGCAGTTCGTTGTGTACCATTGAATTCTCTTAAATTGATTTTCAGGAAATGAAATAAATATAACGAAACTCACTTATATATTCTGACGGCCTTCCTATTCAACCACATGATGATAAAATATCGATACAGATGCGATATATTGCCTATTTCCTAAGGCTAGGAGAAAGCAGCTCCGTACTTCTTGGTTCGATAGGGACAGCGTCATATCACGGTAGCCTCTAATCGGGGGTAGCCTCTAATCGGGCACATCTACAAGGAGGTCAATGAATATGCATATCAGTGACGTCTTGTCAAGTCATGAATATTGATGTTCTTGACTGCGCGCGTACGATCGTACGTACGTACGTACGTGCAGAATTGAGGTCATGACTGTACAATGAAGGTAATACGTGCAACACAGTGGTTCAGCCAAATCAGGGCAAAATCTTACCATTATACAGTTGTATTGTCCGTGATTATGAGGTAGAAGTGTTTGAGTGTTAAGTAAATTTATTTAGTGTGGATTTTGATACATTTTTGATACAGTTTATACAAAATTGGCGATTCTTTTGGTCGTTTTTTAAATCCAAAAAACAAGTGACCAACTCGGTCGTCGGCTAAACCACCTAGCCCTGCCTGTAGATGTGCCCGCCTACCTCTACATGTGCCCGATCGAGATAGGGATCGAGTTAGTGTAATAAAATAGTATTCTATATTCAATATCCGAGAGTTCACGGATGTAACATTACAGCTCCCTTATATATGAGTTTCACAAATATCAATTTATCTTCTTTTCATGGATTTTCTTTGGATTCTACGTGTTTTACGTTGTCAAACAACCACCTCCCTGTAGATGTGCCCGCCTCCCGCTACATGTGCCCGAGATAGGGGATATGTAGTAAGGCATACAACTTAGTGTTGTATATTGAATTTCCGACATGTCATGAATATAATAAAGCTTCCTAAGATACAAATGAGTTTCATAAATATCAATTTATCTTCTTTTCATGGATTTTCTTTGGATTCTACGTGTTTTACGTTGTCAAACAACCACCTCCCTGTAGATGTGCCCGCCTCCCGCTACATGTGCCCGAGATAGGGGAAATGTATTGAGGCATACAACCAGTGTTGTATATTGAATTTCCGACATGTCATGAATATAATAAAGCTCCTAAGATACAAATGAGTTTCATAAATATCAATTTATCTTCTTTTCATGGATTTTCTTTGGATTCTACGTGTTTTATGTTGTCAAACAACCACCTCCCTGTAGATGTGCCCGCCTCCCGCTACATGTGCCCGAGATAGGGGATATGTAGTAATTAAGGCATACAACTTAGTGTTGTATATTGAATTTCCGACATGTCATGAATATAATAAAGCTTCCTAAGATACAA